AGGAATGGTTGAACCAACTTTGGTACACACACACATTGCTTTCAAAGAACCAGCTTCTTATCTTGTTGATTCTATTTTTCTGTTTTCTATTTCATTTATAGCTGCTCTAATATTTACTATTTCATTTCTACTAGTGACTGTAGGTTAACTCTGCTGGTCTTTTTCTAATTGTTTGAGGTGTTGTGTTAATGCGTTGGTTCTTTTTTAATATATGCGTTTTTCGCTATAAATTATTCTCTCAGCACTACTTTTCCTGTATCCCAAAGGTTTTGGAATGTTGTGTTTTCATTCTCATTTATTTATAGGGACTTTTTCATTTCATTTTTAATTTAGTCGATTACCCAGTAGCTTTTACATAGGGTTACATACACACAGTGGAATATTATGCAACACTGAAGAATAATGATGAATCTGCAAAAAGCCGCAGACATGGAGAAACCTCGAGGACATTTTTGCTGAGTGACGTTAGTTGATTGCAAAGGGACAGATACTGTGTGAGACCACTACTGTAAAAAGTCAAGAAAAGATTTTCATTCCATAATAAAATTTCTACAGTGGTACCAGGGGTGGGAGGGAAGGGAGAATTATTCACTGGGTAGAGTCTACACATGTGCTAAGTGGGGTGAAAGGGAATACAGTTAAAAATAAAAGGAAGGAAAGAAAGGAGAAGAAGAAAGGGATTTGGAGGAAATTGCTTTCTTCTTTCTTTATTTTTGGCCTTTTTTTTTCTCTTTTTTCTCCCCATGTACTGGAAGGGAAATCATGTATGTTTGTTTTCTGATTTAAAAAAAAAAAAAAGAGCTTATGCATTGTTTTCGTTTGAAACATGGAGGTCAGGTTACCATGGCAGCATCTTCAATGCTATTTTGACATGTTTCATACAGGACAGTCTGACTTCTGATTCCATCTCAATTATTTTAGTTTCTCTAATAACATCACCTCTATAATGGTGAATTATGATACTCAGAAATGGTTTTGAGGACTGCCTCATGTGTAATAAAGTAAGGGAAAAAAGTTAGACAGTGATGAAAAACTTTATGAGAGTATAACAAAAAAAACCCCCAAAACCCACAAAGAAGAAGTAGAAGAAATGCTATGACATGGAACAGATTGCAGTCATTGGATTGAATATCTGATTTGTTGAATGTGAAAATGATCATCTGCTTTGTAAGCCTTCACTCATTTTTTCTTCAGGCCAGAATAACTATTCTTTATCTTTATTACAGGAGCCCTGATAGTGTAGTGGGTTATGCAGTGGGCTGCTAATTGCAAGGTTAGCAGTTCGAATACACCAGTCTCTCTGTGGGAGAAAGATGAGACTTTCTGCTCCGATAAAGATTTACAGCCTCGGAAACCCTATCCAGGGTCGCTATGAGTTGGAATTAAATGGACGGCACACCACCACCACCAAAAGGAGCCATGGTGAGCAGTGATTAAGTGCTTGACTGCTAACTATCTATCCATCCATCCATCTCTCTATCTCTCTATCTAGATGTGGCAGTCTGCTTCCAGGAAGATTATAGCCACAAAAGCTCTACAGGATAGTTCACCTCTCTCCTATATGATCACTGTGGATGGGGGGGTGGGGGGTTGGGGGGGCGGAGGCTAGACTCGACGGTTATGGGTTTGTGTTTTGTTGTTGTTTTGTGCGTGTGTGTTTGTTGATTGGTTTTTGTGTCTTAGCATGAAAAAATTTCATGAGTTCCCACCTGCAAAAAGCTGTGTGGGTAATACAAGCGTGATTAAAACCTAGTCCCTGTCTTTTCAAAGCCTTTTATCCTTCCTAGCCTCTTCTTTTCAGTTTCAATAGTAAAAAGAGGTCAAGTTTTCATAACAGCTTCTTTGTGTTTTCAATACCATAGACTAGGCTGGTTTTAATAAATAGATACCCACAAAGGCACAATGTGGTTCAGTCCTTTGTGGACTCAAAAGGAGGAGGAGGCCAAGCAGTGGGCTGGCTGTATCAGCTGGTTCCAATGAAGGCTGCAGCTAGCTGCAAGCATCCAACACGAGCCAGTCTCTGAGCGAGCACACAGAAAAGTAAACAAATTCTGACTCCACCTTTCTGAATCTACAGCACTTAACAACCACCACCACCTCTCCTGGGTTTACCATCTCAGAACACTCCATTTATAGTCCATGAAATCTTAAGCAAAGGTCTCTGGCTCAGGGTATTTTTTAAAAGGCCAAAGAAAGTTGTAGCAGCTGGATTAAAATCTAAATCTGAGGATCATTCTAATTATAGCCTTCTGCTGAAAGATATGACCTCAAGGTCACCTTTAGAGATTTTCTTTGTAACCACGAAAATTAGAATAAAATACTTAGATACTTTATGTTCTGATTAATAAAATATGAGGCCAATCAATGTCAGCTGTAGAAGACAATGGCCTATAAACATGAAATCGCTTTCTCTTGAAATTCAGTGTTTGCAATTCTTATGTAAATGAGCCCTCTTCCATCATTCTGGAGTACTGAGAGCCCGTTACCTGTGTCCAAGTCACTTACTTGTAGGGCATGTCTGGTGTGAACTTTACAAACTCCAAGGAACTCAGCTAGGTTAGGGCATATGCAAATATCTTGGGCGAAAGCTAGGAAATGATACAGACTATAAAAGAAATACAAGAAAAATAATGGGTGCTCAGAGGGAAAAAAGTATTTCTGGATGGCGGCATCTAACTAGAAAACTAAGCAGAGTGTGATCATGCAGCGATTGGAAGGAAGATCATTCCAAGAACCTGTGACCAACAAATGAGCAGGGCTGTGTTCAATAAAACTTTATGTACAAAAACAGATCTGTGGGCCAATCCTTGTTAGTGGTGTGCGGTGGAGTCAGTTCTAACTCACAGCGACCCTGTATAGGGTTTCCGAGGCAGTACATCTTTACGGGAGCAGAAAGCCTCATCTTTCCCCGGCAGAACGTCTGGTAGTTTTGGACTGCTGACCCTGAGGTTAGCAGCCCGACTCGTAACCACTACACTACCAGAGCTCCTGGGCCAATGCTTACTTAACAAGCTCTATTTTAGAACACTCTCAATGATAAAATGGCAGAATCTTTTTGGATATCTTTCATCTCATAAATATTTGGGAATAAATGTTAATGAAATTCATTTCTAGAGTTGCAACATCCGAATCATATACCTATAATTTGTCTTAGTTTGAACACTTTCTCGAGGGGACTTCCCACCACTCTGCTTTAGACACAGATTCATGATCGATGCTAGCTCATTAATAGATTCCTGGACACTTGTGTTTGATTGTACCTCTTGGGGCTTCTCACTTATTTTTGTTTCAATTTCAACCACATTGCAGCACTATTAGTATGACAACTATACAACAAGATATGATGTCCTTGGGTAGTGGTGATGGTGTACTGTGGAGTCGCTTCCGACTCACAGTGACCCTGCATAGGGTTTCTGAGGCAGTGAATCTTTACAGGAGCAGAAAGCCTCTTCTTCTCCCGCAGAACAGCAGCTAGTTTCGAACTGCTGACCATGAGGTTAGCAGCCTGTCTTGTAACCACTACGCTACCAGAGCTCCTTGGGTAGCACGAATAGTTAGTGTGCTAAGCTGCTAAGTGAATGTTTAAGTCCTCCCATGAGTACCTGGGAAGAAAGTAAAAGAAGCAAAAATCATCAGCCATTGAAAACCCTATGGAGCTCAGTTCTGCCCTGACATCCATGGGTCACCAAGAATGTGAAATGACTTAATGGCAACTGGTTAATGTATGTACATATATGTAAGATGCATATGTGTGCAATTTATCTATCTATGAAAGATGTTATGGGAGGGGCAGCAAATTTTAATTGATTTGCCTTGCTTCTAAATTTGCAAGTTATTTGCTTTGCTGATGCAGTACGCCAACTTTTCCAACCTTCACCAACAAGCTATTTATGGAATTTGTTTGTGAGAGAGACAAGTGACATCCAAAGGCTTCCTCGCCCTTTCTGGACAGCCGTGGAACAGAGCTGAGATGTGATGAGGCTGAGAGTTTCAGCAAGTGCAGAAACGTGAAGCTAGAGGCAGCCAGAAGAAATCTTGGCTTTCCAAGATGTCAGGGGCATCTGGTAGGTTCGCTTCCATGACAGGTTAGGGGGTTAGTCAAGTTTCATTTAATCTCAAAGGAAAGGAGGATTCGCAGTGTGCTCTTAGGTCATGTTTGCCTACTCTGGTATAAAGCCTTAAGGTTCCCAGCGATCAGTTTCTCAAACTTCCCATCTCTCTCCACCTCCGACTTCTAAATTATTTTCTCTTAAAAACCTGTGTTTGCTTTAGCCTAAAATTTAGAGTGGAAGCACGTAGAATTACACGAGAGTTTATGGCCTGAATAATGGTGTTTATTTTCTTTAAATACACTTAAATATGAAACCTTGAACAATAGTTCAGTAGACTTGGAAACTACAAGCTGGGGAGTACTCAGAAAATCAGTGCGGGTCTTATGAACCAAATTATGTAGACGAGAGAACCCCAATAATTCACAAGAGCAAAGGACTCAGAGGCTACATAGAATTTCCTGATGTGCTTGGAGTAATCAGTCATCATATGGTACCTGTCACCACCCCAGGACGATTCTTTATTCACCACCAAACTGTGATGGGGAACGTGGTGGCTCTGCATGATAAACACTGGGCTGCAAACCACAAGGTCAGTGGTCCGAGCCCACCAGGCATTCCACGGGAAATAGATGATGCCTCAGAAACCCTATACTGGGGTCGCTATGAGTCAGCATCAACTCGACGGCACTTAACAACAACAACAACAAACACATGGTGACACGCCATTTCTGTTCTTCAATCCTTTGTGAGGAGGAGGAATCTTCAGCTAGAAGACATCTATCATGAGCCATGGACTACTTAGCAGGTGTTGCAAGGCTGGGGATTCACCCTGACACTATGAACAGTGGATTTTTTCTGACACCTGGGAGAAACAGTGATTTCAACTTGGCAAAGCAGCATGCTGTTTACAATGGCAGGGGGGTGGGGAACATGAGAGCAAAAGCAGATTCAGAGCTGTTTTGGGCTTTGGAACCCATGGGCAGCTCGTTTTTTCCTTTGGAAAGCATCAGTGCTTTGCATATGCGGGTTTTCCATTAGCACATGTTCTGGTGGATGTGAAAGGAGCGATCGTTCTCACAGCTGTGGCAAAAGGAAATAAACAGGAGATTTCAGAATTAAGGTTTGAATTCAAAGGAATGATTCTGTTCTGATTTAAGCCATCAAAGTAAAAATATACACATATGCATACATATCTGGACTGGTATGCACAACTGAACTGATAACTGCAAGGTCACCAGTTCAAACCCACTAGCTGCTCTGGGAACCCCTATATAGGGTTGCTATGAGGTTGAACTGACTTGAAGGCATACAGCAACATACATACCTATAATGTGAGAGATTGAACCAAAGTGTTTGCTGATCTGAAACCCCTCTTTCAGTTTAGAAATGGCACTTTAGGATCAGCACTGGACTAACCACAAGGTTGACAGTTCAAACCCACCAGCTGCTTCTTGGAAACGCTATACAGTGTCGCTATGTGTTGGAACCAACTTGACAGCACTAGACAACAACAACAAATCAATATAAACCAACTAGTTACTGCTGAGACAAGTCTGCTCATGGCAGCCCCATGTGTGTCAGAATAGAACTGTGCTCCATAAGGTTTTCAATGGCTGAGTTTTCAGAAACAAAACGCCAGCCCTTTCTTCCAAGGTACCTCTAGGTGACTAGAACCTCCAACTTTTTAGTTAGCAGCTGAACTAACTAATGCCAACAAGTTAATTCTGACTCATGTTGCTGTTTTAGTGTCGTGGAGTTGCCTGTAAAGTGTTTCTGAGGAGCAGCTGGTAAGTTTGAACCACCGACCTTGGACTAGATAGATAGATAGATAGATAGATAGATAGATAGATAGATAGATAGATAGATTGTTTCACAAATTTACATATCATAGCTGACCTATCTAAAGTTTCTGAGATAGTAAATCTTTACAGGACTAGACAGCTGCTGTTGGGTTTGAACTACCAATCTTCCTGTTAGCAGTCCACTGTTTATCCTACAGAGACACCAGGGATCTGAGGTTGGTTGTGGTTGTGTGTCACCGAATCTGTTCTGACTAATAGAGACCCTGTATAGGGTTTCCAAAACTGTAAATCTTTATGGGAGCAGAAAGCCTCATTTGTCTCCTGTGGAGTGGCTAATAGATTTGAACTGCTGACTTTATGGTTAGCATCCCAGTTTGCAATCCACTATGCTACAGGGGCGTCTTATATTTTCTTGATTTCATAATTAACCATCACTCTTTTGTTGTTAAGTGCTGTCGGGTTAGTTCCGACTGATAGTGACCCTGTATAGGGTTTCCAAGTAGCAGCTAGTGAGTTTTAACTGTCGAACTTGTGGTTCATATCCAGTGCTGATCCTACAGTGCCACACCAGAAGTATATGCTCTTTTTTATTCCCTAGTTACCAAATCTCTTTTATTACCCCCCCAAAAATTGTTCTTTGCAATGGCATTTACATTTATATTCCATGTGGATGTATGGAATCAAGGCGAAAGTGGAACGGCTATTCCCCTGCAGGTGTCTGGGTGAAGGATCTTTTGCTTCTGACAGCAGCTCTCTGGACTTTCTCTGCACTCAAAGCAACTGCAGTTTTCCGGGTGCTGAATGAGATCTTGGGGACACGGTGCTCTACAGACACACTGACAACGATCTTCATCAAACTTCATGTGCGGCCCGCAGAGCGCCAGTTCCCGGAGATGAGAGTGCTCTAAACAGAAATAGAAAAGTGTTTGGGTAACTGAGCCCGGATCATATGACCCCTAGGCTGCCTAGTTTACAGTATCTTAAAATAAGTTGGATTTCCCCTTTCTGAAAGATTTGAGTCCCTCACCCCTTCATAGAGGGATGGAGATTTGCTTTAGAATTTATAGTACAATGGTGAAACTTACGTGAGTTCTTGAGCTTGAGATGAAAAATATTTTTTGGATAACATTTTCAGAGCTTTTAAGGTTAGTGACTTGTTAAAACTGGAAAATTCTCCCTGCAGTTATCAATAATAAATATAGGGGGCCAAGGATCATATGAGTTGGACTCTGCTTTAGTGACTCAAAGAGTCATGAGTTTTTAACCAGTTGCCATGGAGCTGATTTTGACTTCTGATGACCCCATTTGTGTTAGAGTATAACTATGCCCCATAAGGTTTCCAATGGCTGGTTTTTTAATTTTTAATTTATTTATTTTTTTGTAGTAGTAGTCCGCCACAACTTTTTTCCAAGCTGCCTTTGAGTGTACTTGAACTTCCAACCTTTCAATAAGCAACATACAAGCACGTTAGCATTTGCATCACCCAGGAACTTCTGAAGGCTAAGCCCTTAAAACTCATGCATTGATCACTAGGTGGCAGCAGAGATCCACGCAAAAACCTTTTAGGTGTAACCAGTTCTGTTCTTGGGCAGAGTGTCTTAAAGGAACAGTCCACATATGTTCTCTGAACTCCGGTAGGGTTATTGTCAAGGACTGTTCTCACTATCAGTCTGGGCAAGTTCAAAGGAACACAACACGTACAGGACACAGGGGAGCTGGGTAAATCAGCAACTAGCCAAGGGTGGTGGTGGTGGTTGTCAAGTACCATTGAGTCAGTTCCGACGCATAGTGATTGTGTTGGTTTGAACTGCTGACATTTTGGTGAGAAATCCATTGTTTATCCTACAGAGCCACACCAGGATTCAAGGTGTGAAATACCCTGAAAAAATATGGATTTCAATCCTTAGGGAGGTTGATGGGAGTCCTGGTGTGGTGCTGTGGGCTAATGCACTGGACTGCAAGGTCGGTTTGAACCTCAAGGTTGGTGGTTCAAGCTCACCAACTGCTCCTCTGAGTCAGCTTGACAGCACTTAACAACCACAGGAAGGTTGATGATGGGATAAAGATGTTTTGTCCTCCATACTCCACCCTTTATCATTTTAATGAAGAACTTGATGACACTTTGCAAAGTAACTTTTTAAAAGTGTGGCCCTCTTGAGGATGGAAGAGAAGTACTGCATACTTTAAAATACAGAGGCAGGACCTCTCAATTTTTTCTTTAAAAATAAAATAATTGACAGTAATGACTTGGATCTAGCAAGATGAAATGAAACTGGACTCAGATTCCGTAACCCAAATATGTGCAATCAGAACAGAGGAGGCGCTGTGGAAACAAGGCAGGTGACTCAACAGTCATGGGTATAGACAAGATGCTCAGTGTATATCATCAATTTGAAGGGGTCACGGAGGAAGTGACAATGAACTTGGCCCACAGGAATGGGATCATGAGGGATGAAGTGATGGTGATGTAGGCAAACCCCGCCTCTCATGTCGATCATTGCTAGTTTCCATAAAGATCCCCTGCTTCTTCTCATGCCAACCCATCCATACCAGCCCATTTTCTTCTACGTGGCCACTAGGCTGATGTCACTGCAATTCACATGGGTAGTGTCAATCTCCTGCTTGGCACTTAGCAACACATTCAGGCTCTAGATCAAGCTCACAAGGTCCTTCCACTCCACCCCTGGAGGCCTGTCTGGCTTCCTCTCTTACGTGTCCCCAGCCTCTCCCATGTGTCCCTTCCACGCTGCCTCCAGTAGCCAACAGCAAAGATGTCAGTTTGAGGATTAAGGTGCGCCTGGCCCAAGTCTCATATGCATGTGAAAGCAGGACAGTGAAGAAGGAAGACCTTAGAAGAATTGATGCATTTGAGTTATGGTGTTGGAGGAGAATATTGAAAGTGCCTTGAAGCCGAGATGGCCACACTTCATCTCTCATACTTGGGCATGTTGTCAGGAGGGACCAGTCCCAGGAGAAGGACCAGTCCTAGGAGAAGGCAAAATGGCGGGTCAGCAAAAAACAGGAGGAAGACCTCCAAGGAGATGGATTGAACACAGTGTTAGCAACCATGGGCTCAAGCATGACAAGAACTATGAGGATGATGCAGGGACAGCCTCAAGGACACCTGACAACAATAATTACCTTCCATTCCTCCAAGGGGATTCTCCTCCTGTAACACACATTTACATTTTTTGCTATCCCATAGCATGTCCACAGGACAGAGTTTCTTGGAATGGGGACACCTAGTAAAAGAAAACAATGAACCAGATTTAGACGCTTTAAAGGGTAATCATATATTTGGAACATCTTAACATGTCTCCCTGCGTCCTGGTATGGCACTGTGGGTTCATACACAGGACTGCAAACTCGGTTTGGACCACAAGGTCAGCAGTTCAAGCTCACCAGGCACTCCTAGGAAACCCTATACAGGGGTTGCTATAGGTTAGAACCGACTCGATGGCACTTAACAACAAAACATGTCTCTCATCCTTTGGACATATCATCATTATTCTGGGTAAAATGGAAGGTCAGCGAAAAAGAGCAAGACCCCCAAGACGATGGATTGGCACAGTGGCAGCACCAGTGGACTCTAGCGTAACAATGACTGGGAGGGGGGCGCAGGACTGGGCAGTGTTTAGTTCTGTTGTGTATAGGGTCGCTATGAGTCAGAGCTGACTCGACAGCACATAATAACAACCGCAACAACTGTTAACTGATATTTCTGAATGGGCTGTACAGTAAGAGATGGTAATTCTGAAATTCTGTACCATCGATTTGGAAACTAAACTGTCGTTTGGAAAAGTTACCACCTTTTTGGGAAGATTGGTATTAGAGAGTATACAAATTATAGCTGACAACAGAGTTTATTTACCAGATGTGAATACTGTTCTAGCATCGCTCCTAAACACTACCTTCTGTAAAACGGAGAGGAGAGCTTTGTCCAGGATAATGGAAACTGGGAGAAAACCAACAGTCCTCTTTTATTAGCTTTTGTTTGTGGGTAAGAGAGGTAGAGGTGTCTTCCGGCCTCGATGCTACCAGTACCAGGTATTGCCAAATCAACCGATTCGCAGCGACACAATGTGTAAAACTGTGTTCCCCAGCGTTTTCAGTGACGGAGTTTTGGAAGCAGATAAACAGACTCGAACCAAGTAACCACTGCCTGAGAGTTTATTCCGACGCACAGTGACCCTGTAGGACAGAGTAGAACTGCTCTCTAAGGTTGCCACTGCTGGCAATGTTTTCTGGGAGCAGACAACCTCATCTTTCTCCCAAGAATTGGCTTGTGGGTTTAAACTGACAATCCTGCGATGAACAGCCCAATGCTTATCCTGCAGCACCACCAGGGGTCCTTGGGGTGCCTTTGTTGTTGTGAAGTGCCATCGAGTCGATTCCAACCCATAGCGACCCTGTATAGGGTTTCCAAGGAGCGGCTGGTGAGCTGCAACCACAGACCTTACAGTTCCAATGACTTTGCAGTCTAGCGCATTAACCCACAGCGCCACACCAGTGCCTTTTAGGTGACTCAAACTACCAACCCTTCTGTTATCAGCCTAGTGACCTTTTGTGCCATCCATGGTCTTCTAGGCTCCATGTGATTTTATATATAACCACTGGCTCACCTTTTTAACCTCTACTCTCTCTCACACAACACGTTTATTGCTTCACTTTTGCAAAATGTCTGTAGCCAATTTGTTCCTTTATGATTTCCTTCAGTGTTTGTAATATGCCCTTCATCTGCTTCTCTACATTACTTTGCTCTTTTCCAAATCAGTATTCCTAATTTGGGTTGCAGAACACTTCGAAGTGTCATAATTTGTCTTATGAAGAATCACAAAATACTCTCAAGAAAAAGAAATGCACATCAAATGAATTTTCAGTCATTTTAATTTAAATAGAAACTTTTCCATTTGGAAATCATGAGAAGGAATGTCAGAAACCAGTCATTTCACCACTTTCCAATTTCAAGATTTAAACATAGAAACAGCTTGAGGTGAGTTTTGTTGATTACTGGTCTGGAAAAGGGAGCGTTTGTCAAACTGAAGGCCGGAGCACATTTTGACAACTGTATTAAAGCCCATTGCCATTGAGTTGAGTCTGACTGTTGGCAATCCCATGTCTTACAGAAGTAGAACGGCTCCATAGGGTTTTCTAGGCTATAATGTTTTTGGACATATAAAAATTTGGACATATTGTCCGGAGGGAACAGTCGCTGGAGAAGGATGTCATGCTGGGTAAGGTGGAGGGTCAGAGAAAAAGAGGAAGACCCCTAACGAGATGGATTGGCCAGGTGGCATCATTGATGGACTCAAGTGTGGCAGCAGTAGTGAGGTTGGCCCAAGATCGGACATTGTTTCGTTCTGCTGTGCATGGGGTCGCTATGAGTCGGTTCCGACTCGATGGCACCTGACAACAACAACAACAATGTTTTTGAAAGCAGATCACCAGGGTTTTCTTTCATGGCACCACTGGGTAAGTTCAAACCACCACCCTTTAGGTTAGTAGTTATAACCATTTGCATCACCCAGGGATTCCACTACTGTGATGTGTTTTGTTGCTGTTATTCTTGACCGTAGAAGAATTGACGTTTTTGTGTTATGGTGTTGGAGGAGAATATTAAAAGTGCCATGGGCTGCCAAAAAACCAATAAATACGTTGTGGAAGAAGTATAGCCAGAGTGCTCCATGGAGGCCAAGATGGCCAGACTTCGTCTCTCATCCTTAGGACATATTGTCAGAAGGGACCAGGCGCTGGAGAAGAATATCATGTTTGGTAAGGTGGAGGGTCAGAGAAAAAGAGGAAGACTTCCAATGAGATGGATTGGTCAAGTGGCATCATCGATGGACTCAAGCGTGGCAACAGTAATGAGGTTGGCCCAGGACCGGGCAATGTTTCGTTCTGCTGTGCATAAGGTCGCTATGGGTCGGTACCGATTCGATGGCACCTAACAACAACAATATTCTTGAGTGTTGTCGAGTCAGTTCTGACTCATACCAGCCCTATATAAGGTTTCCAAGGAGTGGCTGGTGGGTTTGAACCACCAACCTCTGGGATTAGCAGTCCAGCGCCTCACCAGGACTCCACCAGTGTAATAGACATTTCATATTAAGAACATAGGAGTTCACAAAGAGCCATGCGCAGTTTTTTTTGGTCCTACTGCAATACTCATCTAGCACTTAATATAAAATATGTTTGTCAAAAACGTATTACCAGTAGCGCTAAAGGCTAAAGAACTTGGCAGAACAGCAATAAGTTTACAGTCATCAAATGGGAAGTACTCTGCATACAGCTTTAACAAAGGCAAGAACGTGTGCAATTGAGTAAAAGAATAGCTTACCGATCTTCTTCCGGGAGCTGGACGGACCTTCTGATAATTGAATGTGGACGGCGGGGAGCCGTTGACACGCACTTACAGCCTGTATGATTGGCGACTTTCACAGGCACCAATGCTGGTACTGATGTCAAAGGTACTGAAATCTCAAAGAGCTATGGCAGGAAAGATAACCATGAATACCTATGTATTTCTAAAACCCAATTTCTAAACAACAAAAACATGATTGTCTTTATCCTTTAATGGTATTAACTTTAGCAAAGTTGACCATTAAGAATACAGCCAATAATGATAAGCAGCGGCATGCAAGAAAGCTGTGAGTTGGGAGAACAGGGTTGTTGCCAACTTGGCCAAGTGTTTAAGTTTGGTCAAACCGCTTTACTTTCTGGTGTCTCTGGTACCCTTGGAAAGCAGCATTGTAACGATGAAATGAGGTTATGGGTATTAAGATTCTTTGAAATTTGGGCAGATTTGTTCATTGTTTGAAACTATTTCCTTTTCCTTTCCCATACCATCTCCACTGAAGGACTAAAGTTTTCTGTCCGATGACCTTGGACTTGGTCCTGCTTTGGTCAATGCCATAAGGACAAACTTGAACAGTGCATGGATTGTGAGACGTGTTCTCTGCTGTGTATGCCACAGTCATGAGGAAAACAAGATCTGGCTGGCCGCTGGTCCAAAGGATGAAGAACCCCGGGAGCAGACCGGAACCTGCAGCTGAGCATCCAACCCTGCCTGGCTCACTCTCCAATAATCAAACTTGGGCACATGAGTGAGAATTGCTGTTTGAAGCTGCTGAGTGTTAGGGCATTTGTTACTCAGTGCTGTGTACTAATAGCTGACTGATGCAAGATCGTGCATACACGAATAATTAGAGCGCACACTTATGTTATTCTTCCTATGTCTCCGTATGCCAGACCCTGCTGTAAGTATTTTTCTATGAATCCACTTAGCCCTTATAACAATGTTATGGGGTGGGTGTTTTACTATCCCCATCCTTACAGATATACACAGAGATTGTATAACTTGCCTAAAGCCACACAGCTATTGGTTAGGAGAGAGGGGATTTGAAGCTGGGTGATCTACTCTAAGGAGTCCTGGTGTGGTGCTGGAGGATAGGACACTGTACCACAAAGTTGATTTGATCCACAAGGTTGGCGGTTCAAACTCACCAGCCATTCCTCAGAAACCCTATACAGGGCTGGTATGAGTTGGAACCGACTCGGCAGCAATTAACAGCAGCAATAGGAATCTACTCTAAAGTCAGAGGTGAAGCTCTTAGGAATCCGTTTTATTGCTTTAAAGAAAGGAAATTGATGCCACAAGAAGAAGCCATCTGGGACCTTGGCCAGCAGAACTCACAGAAATGTCAATTACTTGGTTTCTAGAGTGGTTCTATAATGTACAGAAGAATTTGAGCTTGATTTCTATTCTATCATCCTGCCATGCACTTCTCATTATACAGAGTATTCACTTAGCCCACAACTTTGGGGTGAGAGGCAGTTTTGTTGTTTTGTTTTGTTTTTATTAACCAGTGTTCAAAAAGAACACTGATGGAGTAGTGGGTAAGCACTGGGCTGCTAACCACAAGGCCAGCGCTTCAAACCTACCAGCCGTTCCACAGGAGAAAGATGAAGCTGTCTGCTCTCGTAAAAATTTAGTCTTGGAAGCCCTCCAGGGCCGCACTATTCTGTTCTATAGAGTTGCTCTGAGTCAGACTCTACTTGAGAGCAGTGGGTCAGTTGAATGGTGTTGAAACACACATATTTGAAAAGAAAATCTGCTGTATACTTATACTGACGTACACTCTTTAAAATACTCATTTGTTGAGTGCGGTAGACACAATAAAGCGCTCAACTGTTTCGTAAGTGGAAACAATCCATTAAAACTGTGTTTGCTCTTTCAACGTGTAATGGAACTCACATGAGTCTAAGGAAGAGACTGTTTTTAGAATGTTTACTTTGCAGAAACTTCACCTTCTGACATACAATGTTCCAGCTATACCCCAGGGTATAGCTGGTCTGCAAGCTTTGCTTCTGCCAATAGTTGGGGCTGAGTCATCCTTGAATCATCTCCCCCGCCTAAATTGTCAAACAGTAGTGGTCAGAGCTTCCAGAAGCTCCAAGATTCTGTAAAAGGAGGTAAATGAAGAAACACTCCAATTTAAGGGCTATTTGGGGAATGGGTAGTTACAGTTAAGGATAGTTAACCTATTACAATGGGGTGTGGTGCTGTAGAATAAGCACTGGACTGCTAACTGCAAGATTGGAGGCTCAAATCCACCTGCCGCTCCTTGGAAACCCTATATAGGGGAGCTATGAATCAGAACAGACTCAAAGGAGCTCTGGTAGCGTAGTGGTTACGAGCTGGGCTGTGAACCGCAAGGTCAGCAGTTCGAAACTACAAGCTGCTCCGCGGGAGAAAGTTAAGGCTTTCTGCTCCCGTAAAGATTTCCAGCCTTGGAAACCCTGTACAGGGTCACTATGGGTCGGAACCGACTCAACGGTGCTTAACAACAACAACAATCAAAAGGGATGTCATTTGATTTGTGGGTTTTTAAGATCATTTTCTTAAGTGTGTTACTACTGCTCCCCTGTGCAGCACTGACTTGACTTATATTTGAAAACAATATTGTAGTGACAGAATGAAAAACTGAGTGAGAACAAAGGGGATTTGAAAAGATGGAGAGGTGCTTTCTTCCATGGGGATTGTGGAACTATGTTCAAAGCTCTTTTGTGCTGGACAGTCTTGGTTTGTCCCTCCCGAGACGCCATCCTCTAACCTTCCTTCTTCACCTGACTCTGTGCCTAAAGAGAGTGACCTTCACTTATCGGGCCTCTTTGCCAGGCTAGGTGGCCCTGTGGCCACCACTCCTGCAATCCATTTCTCTCTAAGTGCCCATACTGCCCCCTCCCCTTGCCTTATCAATCTAAGGGTGAGATTGTTAACCTCGTGCCTCCATGGCCCTTCCTCATTCCCCTAAGCCTGCCCACCCTCCTCATCAAATTCATCGTGCTCACTGCAACTGAGCAACACAGAACCCAACCTTCAGACCGCGAAGCTGTCTTGTTTCCTAACACTTTGCTCCAGTCATGGCTATATGGGTTTCCAGTTCTTGACATTATAGCTTCAGAGAGAGAATAACTGAATTGAGTTCAGGCTCTGGAGCCTCGTGGACATGGGTTTGAACCCCAGTTCGGCCTCTCACTAGCCTAGTGACTTTGGGGAAGTTACCTCTCTGAGCCTCTATTTTCTCATCTCTTGAAGGGGCTAATAAAATACTTACCTTTGCCGCTTAGTTCAGGACTTAAATGAGATAACACACATCAAGCACTGAGCAGGGCGCTTGGTGGCAAGGTAGCAAGGTGGCTGCCAACACAGCACCATTAGAGTCACCAGGCCGACCTGGGGGAGGGCCCGCTGACTGACGGCCTCCTACCTGCTTGGAGATGTACGAGGTGCTGGTGTTGACGCAGACCAAACTCTCTTCATTGCAGCAGCCGCCACAGCGGAACACGTTCACGCAGGGAGGCTTGAAGAATGTGTTGGTGCTCTGCCCCAGCTCGCTGGCCACCTCCACGCATGTCTCCCTCGGGCTGCACTGGGTTTTCTGCCACTCCTCGTCTATAGCTGTGGAGAGGAAGCGAGCTTGTAGCTCAGGGTTACGTAGGTCTAACACATTCATGTTGTCACTGTAGGATCAGCACTGGGCTGCTAACCACCAGGTCAGTGGTTCAAACCTACTTTCGGTTAGCGGCCAAGCCCTTTCATCATTGCACCACTAGGATACCTTCTTAAACATTCAGAGAATGTAGTTCCTTTACTTTTCTTTATAGTATATAATGACATTGGATACATCTGGAAAAACTGACCACTAAGTAAATGAAATCCTGGTATGGCGCTGTAGGATAAAGCACTGGACCTGCAAGGTCGGTGGTTCAAGGTCCCCAGCTGCTTCTTAGAAACCCTATACAGGGTCTCTATGAATCAGAACAGACTCGACAGCATTTAACAACAGCAACAACAAGGAAATAAAAGGAAGTACATAGAGAAATAACATAGGGTGCTGGTGGTGGCGTGCCATCGAGGCGGTTCCAACTCACAGTGACCCGAGGCCATAAATATTCACGGGAAGAGAAAGCCTCATCGATGAGTTCTCCTGTAGAGCAGCTGGTGGATTCAAACTGTTGACCTTGCGGTTAGCAGGCCAACTCCTAACGTACTATGCCATCTGGGCTCTTTGAAATAACATGTCAATGCTATTTATTAAGCAATTTACAGGATATAACTGGATAGAATTGCTTTTATTCAGCAAGGTATGGATAGGTTTAGGTACCATCAAGAAATACAGTCTGTTGGTTACTTAAAAAACTATACCTGTTGCCGCAAATTCAATTCTGACTCATATTGACTTTTTAGGGCAGATTAGAACTGCCCTATAGGGTTTCTGAGGCTGTAATCTTTACAGAAAGTGTCCTAGTGGAGCAGTGGGTTAAGCATTGCGCTGCTAATAGAAAGGTTTGAACCCACCAGCCAGTCTTCAGAAGAACAGAGAGTCACAGCGTCAGAAACCCTCTGGGGCAGTTTCACTTTGTCCTATAAGGTCAGAATGGACTTAAAGACAGTGGATTTGAATTTTTACAGAAGCGGATTGCCACTTTGTTCTGCTGCTGAGTAGCTGCTGGGTTTGAACTGCCAACCTTTCTGTTAGTAGCTGAGCACTTAACCAGTGTGCTACACAGGTCTTCATTAAATAACCTTGTGGTTAGCAGTCCCATGCTCCGCACCAGGACTCCTAATGGAGACTGGCATTACTGGGAAAATAATAGGGGGTGGTGGTGGTGGTATCTTGCTCGACGAACAATCAAGACTCCAGGCTAGAAAATCGCATCATTTGAAATGAAGCTGGTTAGTCTAGCTAATTGGAGGAAAAAAGAAAGAGAGAAAAAGGCCTCTGGAAATCAAAAGCCAATCTTTCCCATGAAGCAGTATTTGTGTTGCTCTCATAAATTAGCTATTTTTAAAACTGATTTTGCCATGTTGATACTTAATATTGGATAGGCCTCTCTATGGGTGTTTTTGGGAAAAGAGTAAATTATATGATATGGACAACATTTTAAGACATCCTTGCTATGGAACTGCAGAGTTTATCCTATGTTGGAGGGGGGTGAAAACCCTCTTGTGGCGGTGCTGCTGCTAAATTCACTCCCCAAAATCCTTTCCTCGTAGTATCCCCTCCCTTGGGTCAGCCTGTTCCCTGGCTGTGGACTGGGTCTAGTTCATTGCTTCTGATACACTGAATGGACTCCTGAAGTGGTGCTGTAGGATCAGCCCTGGATTGTGAACTACAAGGTCAGCAGTTCAAACCCACCAGCTGCTCCTTGGAAACCCTATACAGGGTCACTATGAGTCGGAATCGACTCAATGGCACTTAGAAACGACAACAATGAACTGAAGAGAGCAAGAAGTGATGGGAAGCCACTGTCATGATGATGGTACAAAAGACTGACTTCCGCCTTTCCATCAACCTCTCTTTTCACTCTGGCATCTCTCACTCTCTCTCTCTTGTCTTCTTGGTTTGTATATTTTGATGAAGCTAGCTACCGTGTTGGGACTTTGGCCAACAACTGACGAGGAGCTGAGACAATGGTCCAACAGCTTATGAGGAATTGAATCCTGCCAACATCCATCGAGTGAACTTGGAAAGGGATCCTGAAACAATTGAGTCTTAGGATGAATGTGGTCCAAGCTGACATCTTAATTATAGATCATCTCCTGAGAAACCTTGAAGAAGACACCCCTAACTAAACCATGACTAGGCTCCTGATGCACAGAAATGGTGAGATAAAACATTAAGCCAGTACCACCTTTATTCTAGCAACACTAAATTATATTGTTCTTATCCCAGGCTGCTCTGGATTCCCATATATATTAGCATAGTTTCATCTCTGCTTGAAGTACAGATATAACATTACTTTTTGAGATGTTACTCCAGTCTCTCAACTACTCCCTTAAAACAATTTTTCCATTTCCACCCCCTTCATCCCAGTTTTCCTCATATATTCCTTCTTCAAACACTGAAAACACAAAATGCAAGATGTTTGGGTAGCTGAAGAGATACAGATATTATACAATTCACCTAAGATTTTTTTTTTTCTTTTTCCTACTAAAATCTTGAGTCATGAAAAACCTTTGAAATTTTTCTGATTATGAATATTTCTCTAAAAAGCCTGAGGGCTATAAAATGAGACAGGATTTGCTCAATTAGCTGTAAATCAAGGTCACTATTAGGGATCATGAATCCTTGAACAAATAAACAATCAACTTACAACAACATTCTTTATTTCCGATTCTACTTAAAGGTGGCTTTCCATTTGCTTTTTTTTTTTTTTTTTCCACTTTTATGAAGCTAAGTTTTGAAAATTAGAGCTGGTAAGATTTTTATCAAAAGCACATGTTAATTATGACCAATGTTACCAGCCTCCTTAATTCCATGGGATAGTTAAGATTTTGTGCCAACTTGACTGGGCCAGGATTCCCAGTGGTTTGGCAGTTGAGATGTAGTAATCCCCATGGTGAAGCCTAATACAGTTGAATTAACTCTATGATGATTGGCTATGAGCAGTGTAGTTAACTCTATGATGATTGGCTATGAGCAGTGTAGTTAACTCTATGATGATTGGCTACGAGCAGGCATATGATCTGGATCTTGCATCTGGCTTGTCTTCCAACCCCTGGTTCTTTGGACTTGAGCCAGTGGCTTGCTGTATTATCTGTCTGCCTACCTGCTGATCTTACTTCATCTGACCCGGACTTGGGACTCTCCCACTTCTACAGTTGTGAGCCATTTCCTTGATATAAACTTCTATTTACATACACACACACACACATATGTACATATATAAGTTTCACTAGTTTCGCTTCTCTAGAGAAGTCAGCCTAAGACATTCCACTATTCTTTACTACAGCCCAGAAGAACTTCTCTGGCTCCAGGAACTAGCCTGAGCCCACGTAGCACACGGATTCATTACTGCTCCTCACTCAGCTGGATGAGCCCCCATGTCATGAGGAGAGAGCTGATAAGAGTTCTGATCTCCATCATCTTTCATGCTTTCCTCCTTAGAACCTGTCAGAGTTAGTGACCTTTTCTATCACCTAGTACCAACTCGATGGCACTTAACAACAGTCTTGGCTTAATGGGTCTACCTGCATCTTCAAAGAGTATCTCCATGTTACAGGTAACATGCTAACTATCACCTAGTACCAACTCGATGGCACTTAACAACAGTCTTGGCTTAATGGGTCTACCTGCATCTTCAAAGAGTATCTCCATGTTACAGGTAACATGCTAACTCACCACATAGAAATAACTCAAGCCTCAAATCCCTAGCTAAAGTGGGTTCTAGGTTGTTGTTCCAACCACTTCAACTCACTTAGATGCACAGTTGTACACATGGGCACACAGGGCCTTCTGCAGCCCCATGTACGTGGTATGTCTGATGGACATGGTCCAACCTGTGCAGTCAACAATGGAGACCTATGGCACCACACTGGCTATTTACAAATGGAAAAATAAAAGAACACTCAAGAGAGAAATAAAAGAATAATTTGGACTTTGTGGTCACTTTTAACTAAGCAATAAATACAATCAACTACCAAGTAATCATATGTAACCCAAATCTACAATGCCAACTCAGCATGGCCAGAGGACCTTCTTGTGTTGTTTTGACATGCCACCAAAAGGGTGATACGCCTAACTGGAAGGTCCCACAACTTTCTTTGGTAAGCATTGCGGTCATTATGACACCACAGTACATATGTATAAGTGTCTCCTTGTGACCAGCCACCATACTTGCCTAGGGAGTGATCATTTCTTCAATTTCCCATGATGCTATTTTCTAGGCAGGAGTCTTGAGTGTTTTGTCCAGCAGGATTCTCCCCATCCATTATTTTACTAGTAATACCAGTCACCACTAGAAGAGTGCTGGTGTGGTGCTGTAGGATCAGCACTAGACTGCTAACTGCAAGGTTGGTGGTTCAAACCCACCAGTTGCTCCTCAGAAAACTTATACAGTGTCTCTATGAGTCGGAACCAACTTGACAGCGCTAAACAACAACAAAAACCAGTCTCCATTATTACAACTCAGCTTCTAACTTTACTTTCTCATTTTTACTAAAAGTCACACAATTTGAAAGAAATTTTTTTTTAAAAGCTATATTTAATCTATGTTTGGTAAAGTGGAGGGTCTGAGAAAAAGAGGAAGTCCCCCAACGAGATGGATTGGCACAGTGGCAGCAGCAATGGGCTCAAACATAGCAACGATTGTGAGTTTGGCGCAGGACCAGGCAGTGTTTCGTTCTGCAGTGTGTAGGGTCATTATGAGTTGGTAACGACTTGATGGCACCTAACAACAACAATCTATTTGTGGGACTCCTAGTGTGGCACTGCAGGATCAGCACTGGACTTCAAACCACAAGGTTGGCAGTTCAAATCCACCAGCTAGCTGCTCCTCGGAAATTCTATACAGGGTTGGTATGAGTCAGAACCTACTCGATAGCACTTAACAACAACAATTTATTGGTATTTATCAATGTACATATGACAAGCAAATGCTCCTTTTTGGTGAATTGTTTTATTTTCTTGTAAATCCAAGGAGTGTTTTTTGGGTTTGTTTTCATTTCTATTAAGAACAGTCTTTGTGGATTTTTTTTCCCCCTTTTACATCCTTGAGTTAAATCTGTCTCTCTATTTTGAATTGTTCTCTTGTGTTGGTCTTGATGTTGAAATCAGATTGAATATGATTTCAATCAGATTCGCTGCTGAGTAAACAGGGAATCAGGACACTGAAGTGACGCCTGCACTGTGAAAGAAAGGCTCCCTCAGGATCTCCTTCTGACTCGTGCCTGCCCTCCTCCAATGTTTGGAAGGAGTTGGCACATTTATCTGGTGAAGAGAAAGGATTGGCCTCCACACCTACCTTTCAGTGTTTCAATGTCATAGAAAGTTGCCGCAAACCTGGTGGACCGATGAGACACTGAGCGAGAGTCGGCACTGTTGAAATCTTTGAGCTTTAGACGGCATCTCCACAGCTTCCAGTCCTCGGAGTGTGTGATTCGAAGCAATTCCTCCAAACTCGAGGCAGCCCTAATCTGCAGCTCAGATTGTTCTAGCATGGACTGAGATGCCTGCTTGGAAGAAAAAATACTGACTTAAAAGCCGCTACTGGAAAATAGTTTGGTGGTTCTTCAAAAAGTTAAACATAGAACTGTGATGTTGTTGATGTTGTTAAGTGCCATGGAGTTCATCCTGACTCATAGCAGCTCTGTATAGCATTCTGAGGAGATGCTGGTGAGTTTGAGCAGCCGGCCTTGCAGTACAAACCAACCTTGCAGTCCAGTGCCACGCAAGGACTCCAACTCCTAGGTGTAAACCAAAGTATCGAAAGCAGAAACCCAAACAGACACATGCCCACCAATGTTCATGGCAGCATTGTTCACAGTAACCAAAAGACGTACACAGCTCAAGTGTCCCATCAACATAGGAATGGATAAACAAAACGTGGTACATAAGCAGCTAGGGCCTTTAGATCCAGAGAGGGAGAGGGGCTGTGTGCTGACGACTGGGGGGCAGCCTTGCAGGGTATATATACCCTTTGGTTGGTTGATGATGCATGGAGGGGATTGTAACCATAGCAACGAAACGATATATGATAGGATGAATGTAAAACTAATGTTCTCCCATGTAAACTATCACATAATTCACAATAAAACATTAAAAAATAAAAATAAAAAAGAATGCTAGTGGTTTCACACTGCAATGGACCCACCTACTGCCAAAGAGTCAATTCTGACTCGTAGGGACCCCATATAGGGTTTCAGAGATGGTAAATCTTTAAGGAAACAGACTACCTCATCTTTCTCATCAACCGAGTGGTTGGTGGGTTTGAGGTTCGTAGCGGAAGGTCCAAATATAAGCATATAATGTCTGACTGAAGCTGCAAAAGCCTGCCAGAAATTGTTCTCATTGTTGTTAAGTGCCATTGAGTCAGTTCTGACTCATAGCAGTCCTGTTTAGGGTTTCCAAGTATCAGCTGGTGGGTTTGAACCGACGACCTTGTGGTTAGCAATCCAGTGCGGAGTCTACAGTGCCACAATTTGTCTTAGCCTATTAGAAAAGGATAACTGTCAAACCATTACCTCCAAATTTAAATCTCAAAGGCTGTCATGACTTCTGGTGGGGGCTGACGGTGTGCCGTGGAGTCGGGTCTGGCTCACGGTGACCCTATGTAGGGTTTCTGAGGCGTGGATATTTACGGGAGCAGAGGACCTCATCTTTCTCCCACGGAACGGCTGGTAGATTCAAACTTGAGGGTAACAGCCTGACTCGGAATCACTACACTATCAGAGCTCCTTTTACACTGCTAGAGCTCAGGTGGGTCTAAAAGCCAGACCTAAAGTAACCTGATAAGGAGCTCTAGTACCAGTGGTTATGAGTCAGGCTGCTAGCCTCAAGGCCAGCAGTTCAAAACTACCAGCCGTTCCATGGGAGAAGGAGGAGGCTTTCTGCTCCCATAAAGATTTGCAGCCTTGGATTTGCAGCCTCGGAAACCCTATGCAGGGTTGCTATGAGTCAGAACCAACTCCACAGCACACTACCACCACCACCAAAGTAACGTGATATCAACTGCTCTCAGTAAAGTGGGAGAAAGGCAGCGTTCAATCAATCATGTTAAAATTAGCCAATGGTTTCTTTTCTAGACTTGTATTTCTCCCTCCTCTTCTCTTTACAAACCCCATTCTACCTAACCTCTTCAAGTCATTTACCTTTTCTGGAATCAAAAATGTATCCCTATATTCATGAAGAATAACTGCTCAGAATAAATCTTATTAACAACAACAACAACAAAACCCGTGGTACATACATACAATGGTATATTATTCAGTTAAAAAGAGAAACCAAGTTCTAATACATGCTACCACACGGATCAACCTTGAGCACCTTAAGCTTGTCTAATGTAGAACAGGCAAATGCTTACAGACATAAAGTAGATTGGTGGTTACCAAAGGCTAGGGGGAAGAGTAACGGATATGAATATGGAGTTTTTGTTTGGGGTGTCGAAAACATTTTGAAAATACTTTTGATGGTTGCACAACATTGTAAATATAACGGTTGTTATTCGGTACTTTTGAGTCAGTTCTGACTCATAACAAACCTATGTACAACAGAATGAAACACTGCTCAATCCACCACCATCCTCATAATTGTTACATTTGAACCCATTGTTGTCTCTGTCCCTCTACCCTACCAAGCATGATGTCCTTCTCCAGGGACTGGTTCCTCCTGATACCATGTGCAAAGTATGTGAGATGAAATCTCACCATCTTCATTGTTAAGGAGGATGTACTTCTTTAAGGACAAATTTGGTCATTTTTCTGGCCATCTATGGTATATTGAATATTCTTCGTCAACACCATATTCAAATGCATGGGTTCATCTCTGGTTTTCCTTATTCATTGTTCTGAATATAACTGTTGTGGTTACGTGCCAAGGAGTCGGTTAAGACTCATAGTGACTCTGGATAGGGTTTACGAGGCTTTAAATCTTCTGTGGGAATAGAAAGCCTCATCTTTCTCCTACAAAGCAGCTTGTAGGCTCAAACTGCAGACCTTGTGGTGCGCAGTCCAGTGCTTGTCGTATGGAGCCACCTCACTCCTGAATATAACTGTTGTTGTTAGGCGCTCTCGAATCTGTTCCAAACCATAGCGACCCTGTAATAGGGTTTCCCAGGAGCACTGACCTTGTGGTTGAAACTGACCTTGTGGTCCAGGCATTATCCTGCAACGCCATACCCGGGACTCCTGAATATAACCACTGCCTCTCAACTGTAATATTTAATACTACAATAAAATGTGCAAAGATCTGGAATCAGAAAACCAAAAGGGAAGAACACGCTCTGCATTTCTCAAGCTGGGGGAACTGAAGAAAAAATTCATGCCTCAACTTTCGTTTTGAAAGATTCTCTGGGCAAATTATTGAATGATGCAGAAAGCATCAAGAGAAGATGGAAGGAATACACAGAGTCACTGTACCAAAAGGAAATGGTTAAT